GGGAGTATATTGCGTGAAACCACTACTGAATTTATTCTGCCAAGAATTACCCTTCAGACCAGCTTTTCCATCGTTGACAGCAGGCTTATGAGGCGCCAGTTCTGCGGATATAGTGGGTTTTTATTCGGTTTAACGAACACAACAACTGTAGCCAGCTTTTAGGTCTTAGGAAATTCACCTAGCTTAAGCATGCAATTAATTATGCTAGTGATAAGCTGGATTGCGTTCTCCGGCAGGTTACGTAGGCATCCAGGATATTATTTGCCTCGTCGGAGATGCGTTATTCTTCCTCTGTGTCATAGTCTAAGTCTACTTTAGACTGGAATTGAAGCTCAAAGACGTCCGCGAAGGTCTCGGCTTTTTCTAAATCTGTTTATTCCAAGCCTGTCACTCCATGGATAGGTGGTATTACTGGATTACGCTTCAGTCTGAAGTACTTATTTATCCCTGTTTCAAGACCCATCAGAAATTTACCCCATTTCACGTTTCTGAATACATAAATCTCTATCTCGATTTCCAATCATGTTTTCAATATGCTGCGGTAAGTTAAAATAACTTTTTCTATCTTTGAGGGTAGAGCAGCTATCCAAGGCCTGCCTAACGAAAATAAAAGAACATACTATACGGTTATAGAGTAATATAAAAGTTTTATGCTTAATATATAATAATATCACATATTCCCTGTAGTTGGCAGTTCAGTTGAGGCAGTTCTCTTGACTACTGTTTTACAATGCACTTTGGTTCCGACCTTCTTCCATCACATGTTGTATATTCAGTTCACGATGAAATATCTCATTGCTGGCTAATCAAAATGCATTTAGTATCATGCGAAATGCTTTTGTTTGAAATCTTTGTATGATATCGATATTGCTTTTTGCAGGGAACTTCACAATTAGTAATTCATGATTTACGACGAATCATCATAGGTGTCATCTGAAGGTGTCATATATAACACCTTCAGAATATTATTATTATAATATATTTGTAATTTACATAGAATGTATCACAAATAGGCAATTCTGATTGCTGGTATTTATGCGCATTGTTTTAGTCTTCATTAATGTCTTCGTTAATGTTCAGGACGACTTTACTCGATTCATTATTTAGATTCTTAATGCCTGCTTGCATATCGTAGATCCTGTCGGCAATGAGTACTACGTCATCACCGTATTTCAAATGACTAAATTTTTGGTTCATCCTACAATTAATGCCACGTGCGTTTTCATTTAGTGTCGCAGAAATTGTGTCCAGAACGGTGATAAACAATAAAGGTATGATGTGCGACACTGACGTACTCCACTTGTTGACTGAAAACTGAACTAACTAGTTTATCATTATGTAAAACTCTGCATCTTATTTCATCATAGCTATTTTTGAGAGTTCTGATAATTTTTCACGGTATTCTCCTTGCGTTGTCTGCCTGCCATATGTAATCTCTTCTAAGCGCATCAAACACTTTTTCGAAATCGATAAATGTAAGATACAGTGTTGAGTTAAATTCCGCTGCCTGTTCTAATAATATGAGCACCTTGTTAATTTAATCCGTGCATGACTTTCCATATACATATAGTACTATTTAAGGTCAAAGCTATTCTCTCCAAGTTAATATTGTTGAAGATTTTCATTACTATTGGCAGCAATGATATATCTATCCAATTATTGCACTTTTTTCTATCACCCTTCTTAAGTAAATTAACTATTATACACTCTTTCCATTCATTTGGAAAACATTTTTCTACTCAAATCTTTTCGAAAAGTGGCTGGAAGATTCTAGCCAGCGTCTACTTTAAAACATTCTGGGGGAAATTCAGTGATACGATAGCTTCCTTGATTTTTTCTATTGATGGATCACTAGTGCTTATTCCTCGATTAGGGTTAAACCGTCTACGTATTAAAAATTCATCAGTTTCGTCATGCACTATATTTCGAATTCGTTGAAAATGTCTTCTCCACACTCTGCTTCGCTCCTCTTTTGCGGTTACCGCCACGCCATTTTAAGCTCCGACAGGGAAATTTCGAACATAATTATTACCGGCAAAGATTCTTGTGACGTCATAGAATTCCTTCAATTCCTATTTTTGATCCGCTTCTTGTTTATTTGCCAATTCGATTTCGAATATTGGTGGTCATATAACATAATACTATATTGTTTAATTAACTTTTGATAAACACAATTACAAATTTTTTACGATTTCTACGTATTGCTCTCTACGTCTAGCTATATTTATAAGGCTGCCAACTTCTCGTACAAGGGCCCATTGACGAATGTTTAGTAACCATAAAAATTGTTTCCTACCAATACCACGTTTGCTTTCGATTTTTCCCTGAATAATCATTTGGAATAGGCTGTTTTTCTTCTTTTTATAGTTGCTAACACAATATAATATAGTTTAAAACTCTTGAATTACTGTATGTATGTTGATCTTTTTTTCGAGTCAGCGCAACTGGGTACTTTTACTCTTTGATAGCTGGGGGTACTACACGGTCCCACCTATCTCATTGACTAATTTATGTATTCCCTATAAGCTTCATGATTATTCAGTGATTGATTTAAGATCTGCGTACCTCCCCGTGGGGAGAGTGATTACTGTAAGATTAGATAGTGCTAAGTAGGATAGCCTGTCAGTTTTCGCATATAACTTCAGGGCTCTGTCCCTTATGTATTTTTTGATCGGGTCTATTCTAAGGTATCTTAGCGTGTCGTTTGTGCGGATGTACCAAGGCACATTGAAGAGCCTTCGGAGAGCCTGACTTTGAGCAACTTATAGCTTTTGTATAGTAGAGTCGGCAGCTTTGCTATACGCGACACACCCATAAATTAATGCTAGTCTAATTATCTGGCTATAGATCAGTTTTCTGTTCTTCGCGCTAAGGTTGTTGTGTTTGAAAAGTGGTTGTAAGCATTGCAGTGTTTTAGCGCAACTGCTTCTTTTGACTTGCATATACTTATGCCAAGTGAACCGTTTATCAAACGTGATACCTAAGTATTTATTGCTATCCTCCCAACTAATCATGATGTTACCAACTCTTATTCTCGGTGGATGTTGCCTGTGTTTACGTGTAATAAACAGGGCTTTAGTTTTCTCATTGTTAATTTTTATTTTCTATTTCTGGAAGAACCCCAGGATGAGATTAATATGCTCCTGCAGCATGTTGGTCACATTTCTGGCAAGTTTATCAGAATATAACAAGCACGTGTCAGCTGCGTATAATGATAATACCGAAGGACTTAGCATTGAGATGTCAGACGTGTAGATGTTGTACAACATGGGGGAGAACGGGGATCCTTGAGGAACACCGGCTTCTTTTCTTCGTACTGATGATACTGTTGTACTGTTGATTCTTACACGGAACATCCTCTCGCGAAGGAAGCTGCCAAGGATTTTGATCAACCCGACTGGGATACCAAAACGAGACATTTTAACTATAAGGCCGTCGTGCCCGACCTTGTCAAATGCCTTAGCGATGTCAAAAGTAATCATACTCATTGATTCCCTTCTGCTCAGGGAAGACTGTATCATCTGAGCTCTTCGCACCAGTTGTAATTCTGTGGAAAGATCTTCCCTGCAACCAAATTCCTCATCGGGGAGAATATTCAGCGAGTTCACCGAAGTTTTAAACATACAGTCTAAACATACAGTTTATTATATTTGTAATGAGATGGATCGCATCTCTTGGAAGTTTACTTAAGCAGCTGTTGTTAATTTTGTCGTACCCTGGTGCAGATCTTATCTTTAATCTTGAGATAATTAGAGCAATTTCATTACTAGAGCAAGGCGCGATGTCTCCATCAGGCTCTTGTAAGCCTCCTCGGTGATATGTTCTTCCTCTTCAGAGTCATAATCATAGTCTTCGTTTGGCTGGAATTGAAGCTCCAAAGAGTCAGCAAAGGTCTCGGCCTTTCCTGAATCTGTGTACGCTATGCCAGTCGCCCTATGAATAGGCGGCACAGCCCATTTGCGTTTCAACCTGAAGTATTTGTTACGGTGCCTGATCATGTATTTAATATGTTGAGGAATATTGAAGTAATTGCTGGGTTTTCTATTTTTGATAGTAGAGCTGTTATCTAAAGCCTCCTTAATTTGATACGTAAGGTTTCAAATACTTTCCTCCAGGTCCATTAAGGTTTCAAATTGGTTCAACCCTCCTCCAACATCTACTAGATTCTTAAAGGCGGCCCAGTCCGTTGTAATGAACGTGGGAGTCGTAATGTTAATGAATAATAATAAATAATACTAGTTTATGTTCTGAGTCCAGCTCGTCTAAGACTTCAATAAGCGCAGTAAAGTCTAGATTATTAGATATGCCAACATCTTTAATGTGGTCGACTCCTTTACCATAGTGTGTTGGCTCGTTAAGCACGTGTAGCTGCAGTAAGTGGTCAATGGCGAAATGGGCAATCACCCTACGTGCACTATTTGTGTTCTTCATATTCTGCGGGGCACAAGAACACCCTCTATAGTTGGCTGTATGGTCACCACCACAATTCGAGCATTTTGGAGCAGCATCACGAGGTTTTGTACATTGTTGGTGGTGGTGCGATCCCTCACACTTAACGCATTTGGGTGCGGCCCAAAGACACAGGAGACATTATAAATGTCCTTCTGCTCAGCAGGAAGACGAATTTTTAATAATTTGTCAGTCGCATGTCGAGTTTTGAGGAAGTGACATTCAAGAATGCTGAATCCTTTTTCTTCAAGGTCCTCTTTGATGTCGTCCTGGCACTGCCCCTCTAGACCTCTTATTACAATATTAAGGTTCTTCTCTTCGGGAAGGAAGTGGGTATGAAATGGTTCTTTAAACTCATTCAAGAACCTAGTTATATTACGATGGTCATCAATAGTAGCTGGAGTTATCTGAATGTCCAGGCGCACCTTCTTCGCCTCACTTGTCGGAACACCGACAAGAAAATTAATTAAGCACAAAATTCAAATAAATAGTGGCACGAGCCATATTCCATGAAAATATTTCATATAAAATAAAAAAAAATTATTTGAGATTTAACATTTCAGCATTTAATAACCATTAATTGTAGATTTTAATTGAGATGACAACAAAAACTATTTAATTCAAACATTGCATTTTTTGAATTGTCTTAGTAAATTTTGTATGTCAGTAACAGCAGACAAACCTCCGCCAGCGGAAGTCAGAATCTTAGCAGTAATTTTTCGTTTTAAAGCTATAGCCTCTACTTTCTTCGAGAGCTGTAAATATTTATCGAATTTAGATATACAAAATAGATGAATAAAAATAGATTCTTAAATTTTACCTGATATGCTCTCTTGATAATTGGCGTTGGCATACCTGCCAACTTTGCAGCATTAAATCCGTATGATGTTGGACAAGCACCAGGTGAGTATTTATATAAAAATGTAACAGTTTCCTGTGTAGGATCATCATCATCTTCATTTTCCACCATACATGCCTTTAAATATAAACTAAAATTTAAAATTCCAATAAAGTAAAATTTATTTATTACCATATGCCCAAGAGTAATTCTTTGATCTTTTTGAAAGAAATCAATTAAATTATGATAATGCGTTGAGAATAGTGTGCGGCATTTAATATCTGCCAGATAATTAACAACTGAAACTGCTATAGCAGTACCATCATAAGTGGCAGTGCCACGACCTATAAATTATTATATGTAAATTAATAGAGATTTCTTCTCAAAGAAAAGTATTTTTTTCTTGCCCAATTCATCCAAAAGTACCAAACTATGTACAGTGGCGTGTTTTAATATTAAAGATGTTTCATTTAATTCAACAAGAAAAGTACTCTGTCCCGACAACATATCATCCTGAGCACCTAAACGCGTAAAAATTCTATCTACTAGGGAAAGTCTGTACTTCTGAGCTGGTACATGTGAACCCTAAATTAATATATACAATTAATTATTATATTATACATTAGTGTCACTATCGACAACTTACAATTTGTGCCATTACGGCAAGTAGTCCAACTTGCCTCATCAAAGTGCTTTTACCACCCATATTAGGACCGGTTAAAATGGACAATGGCGCAACATTAGGAGAACCAAGTACAATACCATTTGGTATGTAAGTATCAGAAGATACGCATGGATGATAACCCTCTTCTATATCCACGAATGGTTGACAGTTATTATCCTCAGGTTGAATAAATTCTGGAATACACAATACATTTTGCTGACGTGCGTACTCTGCTAAAGAGCTGAGAACATCTAGATTTGAAATGCATTCCGTGCACAATTTCCAAACGGAATAATTATTTGAAAACTTTTCGAAAATACGACGTGCGAGATCTTTAAGTATATTATCACGTTCCATTTCAGCATTCTGCATTTGCTTGAGAAATGCCTAAAATATTATATAATATCTATATAAGTGGTTAAACAAACAATAGTCATTATTATGGTACCCTTGTTTCATTTGTAGAAAAACGTCTGCATGGTTTGTTTCCTTTCTTTTGCCCCTCTAATTGATAGACTTTACCCGCCTTACGAGCGTTGCTCTCAGGAACTTCCAACTGGAATCGTTTTTTGTCTGTGCCAAAGTAAGCCAAACGACATCCGAAAAATTTTTCTTGTTCTTTAAGATAATCTTGTAAAGATTGATTGATATCTTTAATTTTAGCTTCGCATTCATCATAATCGGAGTCTACACCCTTCTCAGGAGCAACAACTCCAGTTTTTGCAGCTTCCTCATGGTTAAAAGCGTTCTAAATATATACAATTTGTAAATAAATTTAAATATTTATAAAAATTTAATTACATTAAAAAATTGAAGTAATTCATGCATCTTGGGAAATATTCCGCCATTGTCAGACGTTTGAGTGATACGTTTAATCAAAACAGAGGAACAATCTTTCAACATGTCGGGAATTTGAGTTAATATTTCAAAACCTTTGAGTATTGAAATGAAATTCTAAAATATAGTAAAAAAAAATAATATTTTCATTTAATATATAAAAGTTTTCAAACAAAGATAATAATAAATGTGTAATATTGATAACGAAAATATTTCTCAAATTACCTGAATTTTTTTTTTATTATACAATTTTTCTTCAAACAAAATAGCACGTCCGTCTGGATGCTTTTGCATTATTGTTTTATTGCCAAAAAGATGTACTTGGGCCAAATGTCGCTCAAAATCTGGCATCGGAGTTAATAACGCGCGAAGCTCCTGCAAGAGCTCAGGATGATCCATCAAATCTGTTATAGCATTTTGACGTTCTAAAATTGTATTTAGATCGCAACTAGGTGCGCAAAGCCAATAATGAAGCAAGCGTTTGCCGAATTTTGTACAGCAGTTATCCAAAGTTGCATAAAGTGAGTGCTCTTCTCCAGTAATTCGTAAATTTGAAAGTGTCGTGGCATCAAGCACCATCGTTGAACGAGGCAAACTTGTTTTAGAAATAGTAGACTTCACAGTAACATCGCTGCTCAACGTATCGGGAGGTTCATAAAAATGATACCGTGCCATTGGTAAAATTTTTTCTTCCAAATAGCATTTTTTCATATAACGAATACATTCACCTAAGGCTTTCAATGCTAATATATAACCCTTTTTCGGAGTTAAGCCCAAATGATCATTTTCGTCCTGCATTGTTCGCAATATAAGTGGCCAATTGTTTTCACTTGATGTGGCATAATAAGTTTCAGCTAAATGCTTGAGTGTATTTTCTGCATCACACTTCATAGCCTCAGCGCTGGAAATTGGTTCTTTTAAAATAGCAGCCAATGAGGTTCGTAATATATGCCGTGTCCTTTCGGACAAAGTACTTTTCTCAAACAAAACCTTTAATTAAATATAATGTTAAATAGTTTTTTCAAGGATATTATGATACTCAAACATACTAAGACAGGCATGTAATGTGACAATAAAGTCAGTAGTCGAGAACAATTTTTGTCATCCTCAAATTCGCCAATATAAAAATCACCAATGGACGTGTCAATATAACATACTCCATAAGTACTGATTACTCCATTATCCTAAATATTTTTTATAATAAAATTTTAAACGACTTTTTAAACCACCTTAAATGACAATACCTTTTCTACCAATGCTAACAAATAGTTCGGTTGGTACTTTGGAGTTATTTGGCATTGTGAGCCAAATACTTGAGTGCCTCTGTTAGTTATTTGACAAATTTCACGACGTACAACCTTGTCGAACTTAGTTGGTCGAGACATTTGTTTACAACGCTCAGTCATCATATCTGGCGTTTCTGTCTGTTCTACTCGTGCTACCTATGAATTGCGAATTCTTAAAATTGCGTAAAAAAACCAAAATTGCTGACGTACCTTATAACCTCTGTCAACTAATACTGAAACCATTTTATCATAGGATATTTCAGGAAAACCCGAATGAGCAAATTCGCCTCGCATATATGTGAATCCCAACTCTTTTACACCCACATCAGCATCCATATGATACAGTTCATAAAATTTTCCAACTTTAAAGAATAGTACGCAATCAAAATTATTCGACTTGAGAATCCACCATTGGCGAACTCCCTATATCCAATAATGAAATTAAACCATTATTAACAACACCATGTAAATTATTTTACTTACTGGCGTGAGAGAGTCTAAAAACTTTGTTGGTACAAATAAAGTAGTGGCATCATAGTCAGGTTGATCTGGAGTTTTTCCATTTTTATCTTTTATTTTATCAGGTTTAAGAAATTCTAATTTGTGATGTGGCCAAACAACGGGTTCATCATAGGCAAGACTATTGCAATCATTTTGTTCAGCTTTAATATTATTTTTAACAGAACTTTTATTGTTTTGCGCATCTTCTTGTAAACTTTGCAATTTTTGCAAGACAGATAGTTCACTAGACTGATCAATTTTTACTTTTTTGTGTTTTGGCTCATCCTAAAGAAAAATTGGTTACAGTTTCCTTTTTTAATGTAACTTTATACTCACCTTAGTTTTGCTTATTTCATTGTCACTTTCATCAGAATCGCTATTAGAGTCATCGTTACCAGCACTATTCATGTTCGAATTGGCACCAGAATCCTCCTCATCAGAATCAGACAAGACAACACGACGTCGTTTATTACCTTTTTGTAAAGTAATATCGTCATCTTCATCAATGTTTTCTAGATCTTGTAAATCGGTTTCCAAGCATCTTTTAGTAGGCTTTTCTGTTGCTGCCTGAATGTTTTTTCCATTTTCCATATTCTCCTTTTCCAAATCATTTTTGATCTCTGAAATTCCGTTTGTCGCACTTGGAATTTTCTTTTTTTCTACAGATGCTGGAGATTTAGCAAAATAATTAAACAATGTGTTTGAGACCCCGCTTTTATTAAGTTTTTTCGACATTTTTAATGAAGTCTTTATTTTGCGATTTCAGCCAAATGTTTGAATGAAGATTGACGACGCCAATCAATGCGCCAAATTCTTCAAATATGTTTTGACAGTGTTTTTGCAAATTTAATCAATCCCTCGTATGCACCCAGTTGTTGCCGAAAGCAGTGTTGTTATTTAATAATACACTACAATATATAAGAAATGTATGTAAAAATTAAGTAAATTATGTGTTACCATTGTGAAAATTTTATAAGATGTTTAATAAATAAATTTGAAAACTTTTAACCAAAAATAATAAATAAGTGCAATGAATAAATAAATAAATATGTATGTAAGTGCAGTGAAAAAAATCCCTTGGAAATTTCAATTTTCTTTACCTTAATTTACACGAACCGGCACACTGCCTATGTTGTATATAATTTAATCGCTATTGAAAGAGTGCTTCATTTTATGATCTGAAAGCTTCTAATATACTAGCTGTGCCTCTCTTGCAATTTGTGATACATATGTCGAAGTACTAAAAGTTAATATATTATTTTTATATCTTTTTGAATTTCGATTAAAAAAAATTTTTGAAAAGCCAGAGTGTGAGATTTGAGAAAGAACCCACTAGACCTGTTAAAACTTTAAAATTGACAAATTTCAGGTATTAGCCTATTAAGGTAAAAACTTCACGGAAAGGCTTAGTAACGATGTTTACCTAAAATTAATGTACTTTATATGAAGTCTAATCTAATCTTATGTCAAGACGGTGCGATTTGGTAGCACGCATATCTTGTCTGCAAACATGTAGCATCGTCTATATCCTGTTTTACAGTTTCCGACTGTTACTAGTTTGTTTTAACTGATAGCGGGATTATACGGCGTTTACATTGGCCGAAAATGCCTCATTTTGAATGAGCCATTTGAAAGTGTTTACATTCGTTCTATTTCATTTGTTCTCATTTCAACAGCTGATTTTTCAACTTGCATATTGATTTGATTTTTGGCCTGTACCAAAAAAATGTTGCATGAAGGTTAAATATGCCTTCAAACCTTACATTTATTTTATTTAATCCTTTTATTCCTAGGTGGAACAGAGAACCTTACATTAGAAACTTAAAACATATTTTTAACTTCGATTAATTACTTTTTGGGAAGTAAAAGTTCTAAAAAGCAGTGCATCGTTTTCAAGAAAATGCAACCACCAAACATTTGTTTACCTTTTTTTGTAAATATGTTAAAAACAGCTTTTTCAAACTGTCAAAATGCCATGAAAAGCTTTCATTTAGGGTATGTTCAATGGATTCCTTTGCATTTGGAACGTATATGGAATGCATTCGAACGTCATTCATACAGAATGTGAGAAAATTGCTCATTTTTGTGCTTGAAATTTTATATGCAAGAATGAGCCATTCGATACTCATTTTCGATTTTTGACCAAAATGAGCCATTTTCGGCCAATGTAAACGCCGTATTAGGTTCACGAAAAGTTTATCTTAACAGTTTATCTCAGCGATTTTAATTTTCTTAAAATTATACTACTCCAATTGTATGTTCTTTGTTGTGGATTCTTTACAATTTTTCAAAAAGAAAAAGTTTACAATGGATTTTTTTAAAGTTCGAAATTTTGAGCAACTTATTGCACTCCACTATATGTCAATATAGCGATTTCGATATATCACACTATTTATGTCACAAATTTTTTAGTATATATGATTCTTTAACAATTAAATATTTTCTTTATTAAATAATAGCCGAAGCGTCCATAGCAATGTTGCTAATAACATTTGTGTTCACAAATGTATGAGTAAGTAGTACCAAAATATACAACTGAGATATTTTTTTACAACCTTGCATTACTAAAACCCACAACAGCTGATTTTGAGTTTGACAGTTCAGTTCTTTTATCAAAACGCTATTTGTTTGTATTTTTGGGTTTCATCAAAAATATACGGAAATATTAAGTCAACATGTCTTTAGCGGATGAACTTTTGGCAGATCTTGAAGAGGACAATGATAATGAGCTTGAGGAACTCATAAAAGATGTCGAGGATGAAAATGAAATGCAAACAGAAGAAATACCGGATAAGTTTTTTAAACATGCATTGAATCCAATGGATGTTGATGTGAAAGTTCAATCAATACGCGAGTTGTGTAAATTACGTGATTCCGAGCGCCTAGAATACATACTGAAACAAATTGAGCATTTCTCTAACCGGAAACGAAGTGCAGCCGAAATGCTTGGCAGCGTTGAATCAGATCCGGAATATTGCTTAATAGTTGAGGCAAATGCTATAGCAGTCGACATCGATAATGAAATTTGTAAGTTTTCAATTATGGACTATAATCAATTGATAAAAAATATACTATATACGACTTAAAACGATTATTTCAGCAATTATACACAAATTTACAAAGGAAAAGTATCAGAAGCGTTTTCCGGAATTAGATTCACTAATAGTGGGTGAAATAGAGTATTTGTTAGCTGTAAAGGAACTTGGTAATGACTTAGATCAAGTTAAAAATAACGAAAAACTTCAAGCGATACTAACTCAAGCCACAATTATGATTGTGTCTGTAACAGCATCTACTACACAAGGGTAAGTTTACAAAGATAATGATACTCGATATAAATCTAATTTGTAATAATTTAAACTAAAATATAATAGTAGCCTAACCAACAAAATGAATATGATAAAATTACCTAATAATGCTTTGTTTTATTTTAAAGTACCAAATTGAGTCCCTCAGAGAAATCTCAAATAGATGAAGCTTGTGAAATGGCATTTGATCTCAACAACTTTAAATCGCAAATATACGAATATGTAGAAAGCCGTATGACCTTTATTGCGCCAAATCTTTCAATGATTGTCGGTAAATGTTTTTGATGGTGGATTGTTGTAATAGTGCAATACAATAGCTTTTGTTACAGGTGCTTCGACAGCTGCTAAACTTTTAGGAATTGCTGGAGGTCTTACCAAGCTTTCTAAAATGCCAGCTTGTAACGTACAAGTTTTAGGCTCTCAAAAGAAGATTCTTTCAGGGTAAATATTTATAATAACTTGCAAAATAAAATTTTGTACCCATGTTCAAATTCTTAGTTTTTCTAAAACGCAAATGCTCCCACATACTGGTTACGTGTATTTTTCGCAAATTGTACAAGATACTGCACCGGTAATTATATATAATTATTTAATATAACAAATACAATGTATTTAGAATTTATTTTTCTAAAGGATCTAAGACGAAAAGCAGCTCGTTTGGTATCGAGTAAGGCCGTACTAGCAGCTCGCGTTGATGCTGCTCATGAAAGCATACATGGCGAAATCGGCTTAAGATTCAAAGAGGACATTGAAAAAAAATTAGATAAACTTCAAGAACCACCTCCAGTTAAGTTCGTGAAGCCTTTACCAAAACCTATTGAAGGTAGCAAGAAGAAGCGCGGTGGCAAACGTGTTAGGAAGATGAAAGAGCGTTACGCCTTAACTGAGTTTAGAAAACAAGCTAATCGTATGAACTTTGGCGATGTAAGTCAATAACGTTTAATGAAATTTAAAAACCAATAAACGCTTACTCTTTTTACAGATTGAAGAAGATGCTTATCAAGATGATCTTGGGTACACTCGTGGAACTATAGGTAAAACTGGAACGGGTCGTATCCGGTTGCCTCAAGTAGATGAAAAGACCAAGGTGCGCATAAGTAAAACATTGCAAAAGAATTTACAGAAACAACAGGTGTACGGAGGTAGTACTACAGTGAAACGTCAAATTTCTGGTACTGCATCAAGTGTAGCTTTTACGCCACTGCAGGGGTTAGAAATCGTTAATCCCCAAGCGGCTGAGAAGTCTCAAACAGAAATAAATGCCAAATATTTTTCGAATACATCAGGATTCTTATCAGTAGGAAAAAAAACGACATAAGTTTTGATTTGGTTTATTTTTGATATATAAAGCTAAGTTTTTATGTAACGAATGTTTAAAACAATATTTAAAGTAAGTTTTTAACATAAAATAATTAATAAAGCATTAAAAGTATATATATCGAAAACATTTCAATTTAAAATAAAAATGAGATTACAACTTTCTGGGAATGCGTCAAGAACAGCGGTTACGTCAGTACAAAAAAATGCTTCCATAGGTACAATATTTGTCAACTATTATTACATGTTATAACTTAAGCAATATGGTTCAAAATTAAATGTTAACTTAGTTTTCCAATTTCGAGTTTACGTTGTATAGCTTCCCAAGAATTATTAAGGAACACTGCTACAATTCCGGCAACCGTAAATACTCCACCAATTATTGAGCAACAGTTCGTGGCAAAATGACCAAATGAGCTAAAAAAAAATTTTATAGCTTAAAGTAGTTAAAATATTATTGTATAATACCTTTGTTTCTCTTCATATTTTACCATTAGAGGAGAGAGCTCATAAGTAAAGAAAACACCTGGCATCCCGTGTTGTTTATCAGGAAGATCTTTTTGATGCCGAGTAACTGAAAATTGGTTGGTGTGTACTGGCGCTTCATTGCGTTTTACATACATTGTTGGCACTATTTTCAAATAGTAATTAAACATTTGTCCTTTGCCTTCTAGAATTATCAAATTAATTTATTTCATCATTATAATAGCAGTTAAATTTATTATATAGTTGTAGAATTGGAATTGTAAAAATTTTACGTCAGCAGCATAGACTTTCAATTGTACTATAATTAATCATTACCCAATTTAGTATTTCTAAAGATATAAAGGTTATTTGCGGTTATATTTTTTACTAATCTCACTTCTATATGGGTGTGTAGTGTTCAGCAAGGTCTCAAACACTACTATTTGCCAACTAGAAATTAGACAAAGCCAGGCTCTGAGAACACTTTTAAAGGTGCTATGGTATATTAGGACGAATGACATTCTCAGGGACCTCAATATTGATCCGATCAAAAAATACATATAGGATAGAACCCTGAAACTTCATTTACGAAAACTGACAGGCTTACTAACACCGCGTTATTGAATCTCAAAATGATTACAGGTTCCTCGGACAGGTATAAAAATCTGAGGTCAGTTATTGCTTAGACTGATAAAGTGATAAACAATAATCCAGTCAAGGCGTAGAGATGGGTTATGAAAAAACATCGCAGTTAGTACAGACTAAAAGTGCTCAAGTGCACTGACTCAACTAGCCTCAACATAATAATACTAATTTCATCTAGTATTCATAATAACAGAAAATTCCTCAACAAATTTTTTTAAAAAATATTGTGTTTAAGAATTTGTTTATTCTAATATTACTCAATTTGAATTAATTAATTATATTTAAATTATAAATCCCCTAATGTTGCTTATGGATAATAATCAAAACATTAAAACTATTTAAAAAGAAATTTAAGTAATTTTAACGGTATTCAAACTAAACCCAATAATAGTAAATACTTGATTATTCAATACAAAATATGTTAATATGGCTTTAAAATGTCAACACACAAATGAAACACAGATGGCAGTGCGTTTACATGCTTTTTCATTTTGACAGTTTTCTTGTTTGCATTGTGTCATGTATAAAAAAACGCAGTTGTTTTCTATAATCGAAAATTAGACGAGTTACTTTGTAATATATGTATGAAATTTAATGCAAACAATAAAAAAAAAAGTTTGCATCAATATAAAGATTATCTGCTAACTTATCGAAATTAGACACAACCTTTTCTACAATGCCTCTACCAAGCGGTGCATTTGGCCAGCAGCAGGGACCCTCGTGCTTCGACCGAATGAAGACTGGTTTCACCATTGGTTTTTGTGTTGGAATGGCAAGTGGAGCTATTTTTGGTGGATTCTCCGCTTTACGGTACGTTTACAGAAATACACATGAGTTTTATGTTCAGCCATTAAATTACATAATCTAAATGTCTAGTTCATAACCACCGCCTTTTAATTTTATTGCAGTTACGGCATGCGTGGTAGGGAGCTTATCAATAACGTTGGGAAAGTTATGTTGCAAGGAGGAGGAACCTTTGGTACTTTCATGGCGATTGGCACAGGCATACGTTGTTAAATATATTTTTGGTCATGAATTCTATTTCTTAGTTGATATTTTAAGTAAAATAAAGATATATGTATATATAACTTTGAATTCTTGTGATTTACCTGAATCTGTCTGAGAGCGTAGCCCGTCGAGTGGATGCGTTTTTGCAAATTCTATTTTATCGCCAAACGATAAATGATTAATTGTGTGATCCAATTTAACATCAGGGTTTTGAAATTCGTGTATATGAAATTGTCGTATTGAAAAACTGTTTCCCGGTGCAATATGAAAACTTCCAGCCATCTGTAATTGTTTTTCAAATTTGCTTAAAAATGCATTCAAAAATTACGAAATTTTGTACGTACTCTATTTACTTCTAAATTTCCTTGAACACGACATCCTTCCTTGAAAGCATTTTCATAGGAGCGTTTATTCTGAATTTTACATTGATCAATTTTATCTAATTGAGCGTTCCACTTTTTAAAACGGTAAGCGTCCAATACATCCTCACATGTAGTACAACAACTTAAAATATACTTAAAGCTGTATTTAGTTTCTTATGCTTTATCAATGTAACTTACTGAGTGCTATTATGTTCAGCTCCATAGCAACTCCCACATGTGTTATTGTTATTGGAAGGTGACACTGCAACAATTTCCTTAATTGGTTCAGTTTCCTTCAATGGATTTCCATTCAAATCTAAACGATGTTTGAATACGTTGTGGTCAATGCGTAAATGCTGATCTCCAGAAGAATCCATTGCATCCAAGGATAGCCCTGAATATTAAAAAATATATAACAATTTAGGATCTAATTATTAACATAATTACAATTGCATGCGACATGATGGATTGTGACATCTATATTAATACGAAGCTTATGTCCTCTAGTTGTGTCAACAAAAAGATCCTCTGTTAAGGTTGGCCGCATGTAAGCCAGAACCTCAAAGCATATTAGAATGGCTATTATACTTGTGCTTATTATTGTCACTGAAATAAAGATAATTTATAGTATTATATATATCACAAAATATTAAACGTAACGGCTTACCTGCTGCACCACTTACAGTTCTCACACTAAAATCATCAAGCATACGTGGATAGGCATCGAATCGACGCAAAGTATCTGTTATTTTCATTTTACTAATGACAATAACTTTCACTTATATTTAATTTAAAAAACTAAACGATTTACACAAAATTACACAAAAACATATATTACATTATTAGTGAATAAAACATTTATGTCCCGGTTCTGCCAATAACAGCTGTTTATTTGTTTTATTCCTTTTACGTTTGTTTTTCTTTCGGCCACGAATGCGAAAACGCAAAAAAGAATACAATTATATGGCGCCAAAAACAATTTCAGTGCATTACTAAAAAAGAAAATATATAATATATAATTAAATATATATCTGCAACAATAATCTAATATGAAAATTATGTAAAATAAACCACGTCATTCATTAGTTTAAAAAAGAATGGAAGATGACAAAATATACATGAGGTAGCAACGTGATTTACAACTTCACTTCAATAAATTTACTGAGTCTGCAGAATATTGCAGGCTACAATTTTTATTACAACAGCTTTAGTTTTAATAATTTCATATAAACTTATAATAACAACTTATTTGTTCTTTGTGATTTTTATAATTTGTATGATATATATTTTTATTATTTTGCTCTGAAAGTATATTATTTGCTCTGTATATACTTTGCACAAAAACTTTGTGTATTACAATTAAAAATATTTATTTGTTTTTAAACAGGTTAATTACTCAACAATTATATAATACACTTTTTAAATTTTTTTTTTTAAAGGGTATGATTCAATTATTGATCAATTAGTCCGTTTAAAAACAAAATTATTATTAATTATTTATTTATTTTTGTATTTTTTAAAATCTTAAGAAATAAAAAAGAAATTGATAAAATCTAGCCACATTGTATATGTATGTTAGTAATGTATTTTCAAAAATTCTTAGGGTCCACTTTACAGTATAACTTTAAGAGTTTGACTTAAATATAAATTAAGTTAAAAAAATGGATGACTTAAGTCACATCTGTAAAATTGACCACTTATATACATATATATGTCATAAAATCCATTTCAAAACAAAATTATTATTAAATATTTATTTGTTTTTAAAATTTTTTAAATTTTAAAATATATAAATCATATATTGTACGTGTGTCGACTTCACAGTCGTAACTTAACTCTCAAAACTGACTTATATATAAATTAAGCTAAAAAAGTTGGTGACTTAAGTTACGTGTGTGAAAACGGCCACTGATCTATATATATATGTATCCTGTCGTTCAGGACATAACCATCTTTTCATTTTGTACAAATTTATAAAAGCAAATATTTATTTCATATCATTTAGTTTAATTAACTTCTTATGTTACTGAAAATAGCGTAAACAATAATATTTAAGCCCAGTTTCACACAAGTTGCACAAGTAACTCTTATTCGATATTGGGCACTAAAGTAATACTTTAAACTCAAATATGTATCATTTTACTGTTAAATCAACACTTGCATTGTAAAATGGACCCTAATAACATTTTTGTTAATAAGCAAATTATGATATTTACAATACTTATTAGATTTTTTTAGGTACATCTAGTCACTATAGTTGAGTGATGCATGGATTTATCGATAAGTTTTTTTGGTGTATTTAAATCACGAAACTCTGTTTTTTATGCAAAATATTTTATTCCACAGTTTATCATTTCGTTTACGGTCGTTTGGAAGGTCTCGGCAGATATCGAGTTCCGAGTTTTTGACTACGCATTAAAATTTATTCCGTAAATATATTTGCAATACGAATTTTTTTACATTGTGAAATAATTGCTGTTCTTTCAACGGCAAAATTATTTGCAATAAAATTATTAAAGGACGGAATATTGTGAATTGAAGTGCTTATAATTAAAACGTAATTCGTTTTGTTGTGTCGGTAAATCTTGTTTGCAAAAACGATAAAGGAATTTTAAAGAATATTCTTTGAATATTAAATTGATTTAAAATTAAAACTTGATTTTCAATATTTTAGTAAACAATTGAGTAGAAATAACAAAGAAAAAATGGCTTCCACACCTCCAAAAATGGGTGAAGATTTGCTGGGTGGTAAGTTGAATTTTTGAATAATATTTTTTTCTTTGAGCTTGTTTTAGTTTTAAGCCCAAAATTTTGTACGTGCCATTTTACATTTTCTCTTTTCCATCTTCTTATGCGTCTAATCTTAATATTTGTTGCTGTTGTTTTTCACCGTTTGTTGTTGTTTACATTATTTCGTTATCTCTCTTGCACTTTTGTCTTGTATCAATGATGACTGACTACGTTTTGACTAAAAAAGGGGTGTAAGGATGAAATTAGTTTACAGACCGCATAATTACCTTTTGAAAGATTATGTATTTTTGTATTTTTCTTTTTTTCTCAAATAATATAAGGATTTTAAAAATAAGAATGATATGAATCTATAAATATTGATCAACTTATCTCCATATATTATATATATGTATATACGTTATGGGCTGTTTTTCTTTTTGTTTTGACGCCATGTTTGTGTTTACGTTTTAATGCACACGTATGCCACTACCACAGCTACAGTTGCCAGACAATATAACAACAAAAACATTCTTTTAACTTGCTTTGTTTATTTCTTTGTTATTTATATTTGTTTGGTTTTTATGGTGTATAATGATGCAAAAGTGAATGTTTAATTCTAATTGAAAAAAAATTTATGGTTAACATTGTTATTATAAGTTGACAGTAATTATATACAGATATTAAAAAAAAAAACAAGTAAAAAGAAAATGGGAAAAATAGGCATAGTAAGCTAAAAATAAATACGGCTTTTTCCCTTAAACGTTACTGTAGGGAATTATCTGCGCAGTTGTCGACTAAATCATAGGTTCGGATATGGAGGAGGTAGTGGTGGAGTTCGACACTGCAAAGAAACAAAGAAATAGCATTGACTTTGTTACATTTTTAGCTCGAATTGACGTCACAACATATAATATACATATATCTGTTTATAGGTAAAAATTTAATTTTTATAATAAAAATGTAATATTCAAATATTGTCGGTTCTTTTTGCACTTATTATTTTAGTTTTATTATCGATTTTATACTGTCTATAATGTTATACATTATATATTATACAGTATATATTATACAGTATATATTATTGTAAATTTTAGGACTGATATTTGGATAGACTGCACTTGTTTTTTTTGTTCTTATATGATGCTTTTTTTTTATTAATATTTTTATTTATATATTTGATTATTTTTATTTATATATAATTTTATTTTAATTTTTGTGGTAATATCCTTGTGAAAGTTTCAAGAAAACCAAACTGGAAATTGTTAAAAACAAAAAAACAGAAAAAGGGAAATAATCATAAACACTAACATTAGTTAATTAATGAAATCATACATTGGAAATATGAACTTATACTATGTTTAAACAGTCAAATTTCCTTAATTTCGATTGTGTTCATACTGCCTCAAATTAAGGAAATCATATGTTTTTTGTTTACAAATTAAATGTTAAAAATTACTTGCTCTAAACACCATTTGTGTCTGGGAAATTTTAAAAGTTGATTATTATACGGATAAAGGATGGCATTCAATAGTTTTATTAGCTTTAGTGGATTTCAGGCGAATTATTATTTTTCACTCTATTTTAAATTAATAACAGTTACAGTTCTTTCTCAAAATTCAAATTTAAAAATTTGCATTACTTTCAAAATATTTTTTCGGTTTTATTAAAGTCAACTGTGACTGACATTTATTTAAAAAAAATGTCATTTTTTAGTTATCTTAACTTCATCTTTTGCTTAAAATTTATCTTACGCATAGTTGCATTTGAAATGTCCCTTAATTTCAGCCTTCGTTTCAACGAAATTAAGGCTATTTTCCTTAATTTCGTTCTTACCTTCAAACTGAATTTTGTATAGAAAAAACAACTTAATTTGAGTGAAACAAAGTTGAAATTAAGATTTTTGCGTAATTAAAGTGTGTGTGAACATAGTATTACTTACTTATTGATATACTATTCACAAAACAGTTAAATTGTAAATCAAAAAACAGTTTACAAAATTTCCATTTCCAATAATTCAGTTGCATCGGACAATATATTATTTTACACTATGTACTTAAAAATTTTTTTTAAATATACAATAAATATCCTATAAGACATAAAAGAAAGTTTCTGTTGAAAACATGTACATAGTTTTTGCATTTGCATGGAGTAAAGTGCTTGTGCTTCTCGATTCAAATGTAAAATAAAAAGCAGAAGACAAAAGGAGGAAGAGTACTAACAATGCCTGTTGGGGCAATTCTAGAACAGGACAAAATCATTCCAAAACGAAGTCTTTAAAAATGACTAAAGAGTATCTGTATAAACATTTTCAACAACATTTCATACGCTTTGTCTTTGAATATAAATAAATTTGGATGGCTCCCAATCAGAGAGTAGTACATTTTAAGAAAATAGTTTGTTCATTAGTATAACCGTTATTACTGGGATAATATACCAGGATTAACACAATCCAAATCACTTATTGGTATTTATAACAATAAGAGCTACTAGGATTGTATGAACCTATTAAAAAAAAACTTAGAACCATCACAGGAATTCTAACAGGGCACAGTAAACTAAAATACCACCTTACGAAACTGGGTATACATACGAATGTAAACTGTAGATTCTGTAAAGAGAATGAGGAGTCGGCCACACATGTGCTGTTAGGGTGCCCTGCACTAATGCACTAATTAGTTAAATGCAATAGTTTAAAAAATTAATGTTAACAATATTCAACTATGTATATTTATATGTTTTTATTGTAATATTGTAGCCTTTAGTAAATTTAATTTTAATTATATATAGTAAAGCAAAGATAATTTGAGAGTAATTCATATTCATCTTGTAAAGATCAAAGTGTACATGTTCTTTCAATATGTTTTATAGGCGCAATAGACTACACTATTAATCAACTTGGAACTTTTATTAAATCTATTCAACCGGTGACTCTGTAAATGTAAATCAATCTTTTTTATATTTAATATTTTCATCTTTACATAAGGTAAACGTATTATAAATAAGAAAAATCATTTGCCGGTATATAGCTTTATGCCAAAAATTGGTTTTTTTTTGTGCTTTGTTTTTTCAAAGACAAGTTCGGAAGACATCACTACGAGTATTTTATAAACTGAATATATTATTGACGTATTATTGTTCATATATACAAAAATTAAGCAATTTATAATACATCGTTTGCTATGTAAGTTTATAAAAGTACATATTTAGAAGCGCTACGAAATACTTATTTTTAAATAATTTATAAATATTTAAGAGTAAATATATGCAAAAGCTTTTTCCTCTATATTAGTGACATAATTTTAGTATGGCTTTTATTTAATTTTGTACCAAAAATAGAAACAAGTTTAGATTTTTAGTTTTTTATTCCGTTTGTTTTTTAAAAACTCTTTTCTCAATCCGCAAGACGGAGAATTTATATGTACTTACCAAGTTCGGTTTGTTTATACTTCAGATTTCTATAAATTATGCAGTTGATGTGATCATTACGAAGTGACAAACACTTCAGTCAGTAAAGAAAGAAGTGTTACCAACGCAATAAGCGAACTATTGTGAACCTTGATTGGAAATTTCAAGAAATATTGCAATCATATGTAAATAAAAATTCAAACAAAATTCAAAAATTTCATAAATTTGAAAATTAGGAAAAAAGAAAACATTCTTATCATTCCTTTCGATTCTTTATTTATTTTAATTTTCAATTTTATATTAACTGTTTATTTTTATAAAAAAATGTAATTTGCTTGCATTATGTTCACATTTGCAAGATTTGCTGTTTCCCAAGATAAAACTGGACAGATTGCAACAGTGATGCCAATATCTCGCTTAGCGATTATAGGCCAGCATGCGTTTTTTGCTACACCTACGAGCCACCGAAAACGTCTAATATTTAGTCGTTTTTTAATTTTGAAAGTAGTAAATATATATTTAATCACTGCATATAAACTATGCAACAAATTTAAACTGATATATATATCAAACGCATTTATAATAGGTATATTCGGCAGCTCCTAAGTGTGGCAAAAAACAACAAGTTGCTTGCTTAAAGTGGCTAATATTTACGCAAGACAACAACAATACTTTTGTTATCTAAACGATTAGTTATGAAGTGACCAAACATTTTAGCGACTGCAGGAAAAATGTTACCTACGAAATGGTAAATTTGACTTCTAGAACAGAAAAAAGTTATATGGAGTCGTACCAAATGAGTACGGCGCTTGATTAATCATATTGGTTAGATTGGATTGTGCGATCGCATAAGATGCAAAAGTATAATTGCTGATGTAATCACATTGGGTAATAAATCGCTTTCATTAATTGGTAATATATAGGTAAAAGTAATGTACTAATAAGTTATAAAAGAAGTTAGCATAAGATGTCTCATTATTTCGAAAACTGTATAGATTTTGGTAGCAATTCAATACTACATACATACTGATATTTCAACTAAAAATTTTTTTTGAAGATGCACAACTGTATATATAATTTTATGTTAATTTTATATCAAACATCAAACAAACTCGTTATGTTTGTGAAATTAATTACAATTTTCGCAAGACGTTCTGCGTAGACCGAAACTCAATTCCTCAATTCTATTGTAGAAATATGAATGATAGAACACGTGAATAATTTATGAGTTGGGAAAGCGAACTTGTGATTATTGTGTCTATGCAACTTTATGTAAGAAATATTACTTTCGCATACTTAAATGTGATCCACAATTAGAAATAAAATTTACCATGCACAAATGAATTTGCATATAGTAGGTTATCAGCAACACGTGCATTTCTATAAAAAACTGCAATTGCAATAAAATGTATGGTCTACGAATATATTTGTGAGAGAAAGAAATTATTTTTTTTTAAATAGTTTTTATTATTCTGATAATGCTCGCTCTACTATAATATATATTTATATATAATCGCTTAATTCTACAATGTAGTTTTTTCCCTATAGCAGCGCATGTATGCACTTAATTCAATTATAAGAAAATATGGATTGGACTACATTAAATTGTTGATTCTATTTTGTTAGGCAGACATCTTGACTCCTCAATTTAGAACTAAAATATATATATATATATGGAATATATGTATATTATTAGTATGCTTATAAAATAACACATAAATTATTATACATTGTTAAAAGTATCTTCTAAACAGAATGGGGACAAAAGTAGATATAAACCAATGAAATCTTTAAATAAAGATAGTTTAAATAATTGCAACGTATATAAGTGTATTTGTCAAATTTAATTTTACTAGTAAGATTTATTATATAAGTCATTATTTATTAGAATGAAAAATATATTCTCAAACTCAACATTTCCAAATTTTTTCATTTTTAATGATAATATTTTTGATATTATAATAATATTAATATATAATATTTTTGAGTAAGAAATTTCTGATAAAAGTGAACTATTTATCAGAATTTACAGAAAATTAATCGTTTTAGGTACCCAAAATATACAAAAAAAATTTAATCTTCTGAAATAATTTTATATATATTAATAAAATTTAATTTTATATATTTTATATGCATATTAAGTAAAATTAGTTGCTAAAATCTAATCAAAAGGTTAACAACTATAAAATTTATAATTTTTTCTAAATTGTTTTTTTTTTGTTTAATTATTAAAATTACTCATATAATAATGGCTCATATAATATATAATAATTGTATAATATATAGTATTCATATAATTGTGATATCTAGAGAATAGGTGTTTATAACATCTCATATATTTTTTGTTTGTAAGAAACTTGTTTAAGATTAAGACTAAAGTAATAGTTTTTTTTTATTAAAATAAATTATATCTTTAAAAATCTGTATATAAATAATATTATATATAAATAGGGTGTTTCGTACCAAATCGCTTTAAATTGGGGTCCTGATTT